TCCAATCTCAACCACAAATCAACGGATAAATTAGGAAATTAATAATTATAATAGTTTGAGTTAAAATTATAATTAGAGGGTATATTAGGTATTTTTTAAAAACTCTTCTCTCATCTCTCATCTCTCCGACCTCCAATCTCCAGTTATAAAAATACCTAAAATATCTAAAATGCAATATATTAGGTATATTAGAGAGGAGTTTTTTTAAAAATACCTAAAATGCCCTCTAATTATAATTTTAACTCAAACTACCATAATTATTAATTTCCTAATTTATCCGTTGATTTGTGGTTGAGATTGGATCTCACAGTTACTACAAACTAATCAGTTCTTCCTTGAATGGACCCCTATATATATAAAGGTCTAATCAAATGAGAACTAAGACTGTCTATTAGACTTGGTTGGTGCTAGTAGAAGCATCAAGGGTTGAGATTCTTAGGAAACTTTTGAGCGAAAGTTGAAATTTCTGGAGACATAGTAACATCCGACTATAATCTAGCTTACTCGAGATTAAATTATTATGTTGTTATTTATGCTTTAATTCTTGAATGTTGTGCTATTTGGCGAACTTTCTCTTCATGGGTTTAAGCCACCTTATATTTATGGAAATTTTTATTTGTATGGAAGACATTTTCTCTTTAAATATTAGGATGTTATAAATGGCATTGAATTCCTTCTCAATTGTGGTGGAATGACCAAATCCATGAATAGTGGAGTGTGCAGAATCGAATTCCATTCCATAGGTAACCAATCGTCTTAATGACATTTGGTCAACAAAGTTGATCAATCCAATTCCTTCAAATTTCATCAGATCCTACGAACCAAACACCCCCGTAAAATTTTATGTAGGTGTAAAAATATATGAGACCCAAATTTTTCTTTAGGGGTTTGGAGGGGTAAGGAAATTAAGGATCACATGTATTTATGTTATGATGGGAAACCTAATAGGTTAGAAATTTGGGTTTGGGTATTGTGATGAATCAATCGAATTAGACTTGGATAAAATTTGGACTGTGTACGAAAAACACTTACCCTAGGTAATCACGAAATTTACTCGACAACAGTCCAACTGCATTATCAGTTTTTGGTAGAAAGCGTAGAGATCTTGTTATGTTCAATCTAAAAAAAGAATGAAAACTACTGTTTTTAAAGGTAGGCAGTTACTGAGGTTACCAGCAGTTATTGAGGGAGTAATAAGAGATTATAAAACAGTTATATGACAATCAATGTCATCGGTGTGTGAGCACTCACTAATGTTAATTAGTGAACTTAGTAACCACTCACTAATTAGGTAATTACCACGGTAGATACATATATATACCCACACATATATAAAGTGAGAACAGAAAAGTTCAAATAAAAACAGGGTCAAAGTAAGAAAACATATATGAAATTATCTGTATTAAATACATCACCTAAAAATTAAAAATTAAATAAATAAAATAATAATAATGAATGACACATTTTTTCGATGATCTCCTTATAACTCGCATATAGAAAGTGGTAGTAAATTAAGTTTCAATATTATGTTGACATTTTCACCATTTTTGTGCTTATTTTTCAATTAAATAAGTAACAAAAACGTCTAAACAACGAATAATCTTTTTAAGCAACAGTGAAAATTCGACTAGCAATTTTTCTGTGCATCACTTCTTAATTTAACCAGGGAAAAAGCTTTTTGACAACATCATCTCAAAGTCAAATATTAGAGGGCTTTTGAAATTGCTTATTAAAAAAACTTATTGATTTATTCCGGTATGGTACCGATAATAAGTACTTTGAGTGTTTGGATAAACAACTTATACTGGTGTCAAACCGGTAATAAGAAGTTTTTGAAGAAGTTAAATTATTCTAACTTATAATAAATTGATAAGAACTTTTGTAGAAAAGCATAAATTGTTTCAAATAAGCAATCCCAAACACCCCTTTAATGGACATTAAATCTTTTGTTGTCGAATTTTTTTCCCATTGCTTTTCCTCCATAAATAGCGTTGCAATGAGCCAACGATCTGCTTTTACGAGGTAGAAAAGCCAAGAAACTACATAAAGACAAGTGTAGATCTACTCGGAATAAGAGCATCTCCAATAGTTATGCTAAAATAGAGAAAAAAGATATTTTGACCCAAAAAAAATTACTCCAACAACTATGTTATCTTGTATGCTAAAATAGAGAAAAAAAGAAGAGGTTGTAAAAATCTCTATATTTGTAATTAGTATTTTAATGCTTCCCTACAGTAAGAGTTATTTGTAATTAATGTTTACTAGAAAGAAATAATATTTTATTAAATGTATTGAATATTTAATAATATAATTAATATTAGAATTGCTAAAACAGAGTAGTTGTTGAAGTTGAAAGTAACTTTTTTTTTAAGATTTTGACTTTTAGTACTCTATTTTAGAGAAAATATAGTATGGTTGTTGAAGATGCTCAGCTTAGGTGCCGTTTACCAAACACTTACCCGGGTAAACGCTTACCAAATCACACTACCGGTAAGTGAGGGCGACGACTCTTACCACGATAAGTGTTTATCGGGTAAATTGTTGCATATGATGTCGTTTTAGTAGACTAAAATCTTATACAGTAAGTAAATAATAGTGTTAAATTTTACCGGTAAACACCTTATTTATAGTAGCCATCATTGTTGGTTCCCCGTTCCAATTTAGACTTGCTGGTTTCGATTTTAAGTCAAGATTAAGAGAGAAGGGTTGCACCATAAAACCAACATAAAAACAAAGCCAAATGAGTTGCTATAATAATGCCCACAATCCCAGGGCTTAGCTTCTATACATATATAGAACCAAGGGTCTCTAGATTAAGCTTTATATCCATGGACTCTAATGAATTATTCTACATCTACTACACAAATTATCTAGTATTTCAAACAATAAAAAAAGTAATGGAACAACAAGCTTTATTTTACCTTATTAAAGTTCTTCGTTGGACTCGAAACTCTCATAAGCAGGAGACTCGTAAATCTCAGCCTCCACAGAGCCTTCGTAAAGTTCTTCGTTAGACTTGAAACTCTCATAAGCAGGAGACTCGTAAATCTCAGCCTCCACAGAGCCTTCCGAGTTGATAGTTTCAGACATGTATGAACCGATATAACCCATGATAGTTTCAAGAAAAGAAGCCCCCCCGGAATCATTTTGTTCTACTACATTTTCGTCTGTTTGACCAAACTGAACCACATTTTCTTCTGGTTGGCCAAATTGAAGCAAGAAATGCACACCGTTGACAATGTCATACACCATTAAGCCAATCCTTCCTCCAATCCAACTGCCGAATTGACTTCCAACCAAATACCCAAATCGGCCAAACCTTTCTTCTCCTAAGTACCCTATGGCGTAGGTTCCAAACAATGTTCCTGTGCCCCTCAAAAACCCTTCTGTGACGGTTCCTCCATAGTAAATGGCTTCAAAGAAATCCCATCCGGAAGAAATAATAGGCCCTACAATACGTTTAGTTTTCCTGGTTGCCAGCTTTGCAGCCTTGGCTCCATCTTTCTGGGCTTTCTGAGCAGCAGCTTTTGCTTCCATGCCTTGTGAAATTGCGTCAGCCAGTGATGTTTCGATTGCTTTATTTCTTGCTACCTCAACATGGACTGTTCTAATGTTGTAGGTATACAATTTCACGCCCTCTTTTACCACGCATGCTAATGTTCCTGAACCCCCATCAAAACAGTTGAAGATCGTAAACTTCCCACTCTGGGATGAAGCTGTTTCTCCAACCATCTCTCTACATTTTTCAGCTAGAAAAAGAAGATTATGAAATTAATCACGAACGAGTTTTCATGATAAAAATCTTGAAATCAATCTGGTAGGATCAAAACGATTGGTTCTTAATTATGGATAACCAAATTAAGAACTAAAGAAAACTGCAGGTGCAAGGTACCAAGTGACCCTAACATCGGATTGCATTAAAGTGAACAATGAAAAAATCAGAAAGGAGCAATCTAGACTTTTTAATCAGAGAACTCGCTCAAAATAAAAATTAATACCTAAAGGCATGTTTAATTTTTATAGGAAAAGACGAGTTCAAAATTCTATGATCCACTTAGGAGCATGCGTACACATGCTTATAAGTTGTGTCCTTGTAAGTTGTAAATCTCTTGGTACATTGAGGCACTTAAGGACCGTTGTGTTATGAACAGTCAATGAAGTTTAAATAAGATTATGGCCATGGTGGATAAGTTCTGCGATTGATATAAGAAGATAAAGTCTTAAATTAGTTACTTGTTATCTTGGCTGCTACTTCCAACAACAATGATCCAATAGTGATATACCATATGGAAATCTCAAGGGTGCCTCAGCGAAAGCAAAGGGGGGAGCTTTTAAGCATACTGCACTTCTTCTTTGTCAATAGATAACCCTTCAAAGCATCCCCCCATACCTTTGAGAGCGTATCCTTATACCATCCTTTGACTTATTCATGGAAACCCTAATGTCACGGAGTTTGAGATGGTAATAAACTAACAAATCAAAACTGAAAGGGTAAAACCAGAGAATGTGAACGATAGAGTTTAAAAGAAAAAAACTAGAACATAATCAGGGTGATAAGCATCAAAGGCGTAAAGCTAGGATATATCATCTCATATAAGGTACTGTTGCATCATAAAAGCAAGGCCTTGAAGCCATCATTCATGCAAATATGAAAGCATTCAATGATGATATAATTCGAAACTACACACCTTCATATAGATAAAAGAAACGTAACTAGAACTAGGGAGCAAAGAAACCAGTAAAGACTGATATACCCTTTGCTAAAAAGTTTCCTATTGGATGCCTACTTTGACTTTTAATTGTCAAACATTGCTTCTCAAATTCAAAACTATTTTAAATTATCTAACTAATAGCATATTTCTAATGACACTGCATAGTTTAATAATACTAGAAGAGTACTCGCGCAATGCAGCAAGACACATTTCGATTTTAATGTTCTATTTTATTATTTGTCTCTGTTTATGTTATAATACGATTTTATGTGTTTTTAAGAAAGCAATAATGATTTTATTTTTGAATAAAATATAAATTTGAAAATATCATAAAAGTTCGAAAAAAAATATATCAATGTTAATATCAAATCAACTATTTAAAAGTTCTCATTTTTATGTAATTTCTTTAATTTATTTTTTTATTATAATTTAATTTAAGTTTAATAACGAAATAATTTATTTTTGGTTTAATAATATAACATTTTATAAGGATAATAATTAAGTATTATGTTAGATTTCAATGATTATCCTAATTATATTTTAGATTTTTTATATTTAAATGAGATGTTTATCCTGCATTTGATTATGTTTATCTGCAGTTAGTTACACGAATTCAGATATACAACTTCAATAAGTTGTACTTACGGACAATCTACTTGTAATCTTGTGTTTTAAATAATATGCATTAATAAACAGTATTTTACGTATAAAAAGTGGTTTTTAAGAGTTTTTGTCAAATGCTTTATAATATAGTATAGATAATAATTTTCAGTAACTAAATAACTTCATAACAAGTTTGAAGTCACACAGTAATTTCTTACACCTCCACCATCAAAACTCAAAGTGGGCACTTGAAATGAGACGAAGGGACTAATAAATTACTAAGGGGGTGTTTGGGATTGCTTACAAAAGCTGTTTTTTAACTTATTTCAGTCTGGCACCGGTGATAAGCTGTTTTCTGGTGTTTGGATAAGGAAAAAAAACTGCTTATACCGGTGCCAAACCGGTAATAAGCTGTTTTTGATAAGTTAATCCTTCCTGACTTATGAAAAACTGCTTATTACTAGTTTACAATTTTAATCCTGTTTTATTTAACTCCGGTTTGATACCATATAAGTTAATAAGCACTTTTATAAAAAAAACATAAGTTGTTTTAAATAAGCAATCCCAAACACCCCCTAAAATAAAGAACACCTCTTGATACTTGATCAACCACATAGAAACAATAATTACAAAAATAGTTAGCCAATCAAACACAAAATGAGATCCAAATAAGATATCAAGAAATCCCCTAGCTCATAATATACTCATCAACTGTAGCATCGAAATGTTGCGATGCTTTAGAATCGCAGTTCAAGTGATTAGACGATTTTATATATTGATATGACTCTCTCCAATGGGTTACCTATCGGAAGTGTCAATTATATGGCAAGAAACATCGAATTTAAGTAACAACTTGTAGGCATAGCAATATACCCACCCACCTAGGATGATGAAATTTCCAATTTCAGTTGGAATGGAATGTTGAGGGGTAGAAGTCAATGTAGGGAGCGAAGGGTAGCTCCAAAAGGATAGGTCTATGATTCAAAAGAAGGGTGAGACCGAGGATGATGTTATTCACCGCATAGCATAAAGGGAATATGGTTAAACTGCCATGAAGTGTTGTAGTGTTGTGCGACAAGAAGATCCCACTAAAGCTGAAGGAAAAATTCTACAGGGTAGCCATCAGACCAACATAGTTGTATGGCACAAAGTCTTGGGGGATAAGGCGCTTGAGAGGAAGTTAAGAAGCGGCTGAAATGAGGATACTCAGATGGACCAGTGACAAACAATGTAAGACAGGGAATCTAACAAGGTCTTTCAAGCATAGTTGGGAGTAGTGCCTACTACAGATAAATTGAGAGGGAAGAGTGTAATGGTTTCAGGACATTTGTAACAGAGTGTTGGCGGTACCAATGAGGGGTAGAGATCGTCAGGGTCAAGAGTGTGAGGAGGAGGGGCGCGCCAAGGAGGAAGCGGGACGAGCAACTGAGACAGGACATGGCTGCTTGCCTGCTTTAGACATTTCGAACTACATGACCTCAAAGAGAAGTTTGTGGAGATGCAAGACTAAGGTAACGTATTGTGTGTAAAGACTTGTGAATAATGGGGCTGGGGAGGGGTGGAGAAGTAGTGGTTGGGTGGGTCCGGGGAGGGTTTGAGAGTCGTTAGCTAGGTGCCAATGCCCTAGGATGGAGAGAGGTAGAGAGTCAAGCGTTTCTTCGCCCTTAGTCTAGCGGTGTGGAATCTTCTTGTGGGTCTGCATTGTCCCTTGTGCTTTATTATTCTTTCATATTACTCTTTCTACGTCTATGCTAACCTGCGTTTCTATCATGTATTTTTTTTCTTTCTCTCTTCTTATCAAACTTTCGGAACCATTTTGGTCGCAAAAACTTTTTCTCAAAACCTTTTTACAAGTTGGGGGTGTTAAAGGGAACAAGCTCTCTACCCCTCAGAACAGAGGTAAGGTCTATGTACATCCTACCCTCCTCAGACCCTACTATGTGCGGGATTTGTTGGGTCCGTTTGGTTTTGGATTGGTTTGGTTTAATTTTTATATTAGTATACTCCATGTCCAATTCTAATCATACACTAGATGCATTCAAATAACAAGCCTACAGAAAAAGGTAAAGTGTGATCTCATAGAGAGATGATTGAACTAGTAGCTCAACTAACAAAGCTGATCAAACTAGAAGCCACTAGAGCTCATTGATGAAGATCATAAACATTTTCACTAATGGCTTCAGTTTACAGAAATGTAACAAATGTGCACAGCTATGATTTATGTTCACTGTAGATAACAAACCAGGTTCATTCTAGAAGAGAAGTGCAAAAAATGTTATATACAGTGTTGCAAGAGAATAGACAAACAGCAACCTTGCACGCTAACCATAAAGGACAATGAGGATAAGGAAGTGAAAATCTAAAAGAAAATCTTTGGTTGCAGAGGAATAAAGAACAAAAGGAAGTGTCACTCTTTACCCTCTCATATCCAGGAGAGACTTCCGGTTCTTGATCCAGTATAGTAAGGTTCATGTAAAAACCATGGAAAACAGACACTCAATCTTATTTATTGAATTCCTTCCAGAATATTTAAATAAATAAAAGAAGAGTCCAGAATAAAAGGAAGATATAGCTTCTAAACAGATGAGAATTAATTACAGTTACAAAGAAGGGAATCGCTAGAAGATTATGATACAAATAATTCAGACAAAAACAACTAAAAGAAGAAGCATCAAATCCATGTCTTACAAAGTATAAGGCTTGAATTTCCATTATAGGTGTGAGCTCTAATCTTGCAACTGGATCATAGAGCTTATACAATTGGTAACAAAGATACCATATTCTATATAATTTTACAAGTTGAAATGAACTAGGATGACCTGAATGGTGGAATGAAACCATTATATAAACTCTCGACTTGCTTTATTAGAATTTGGTTTCTGTTTACACAATACGTTCCCTACTTAATTTAGTTCAAGATGTATTGTTTTGATGTTCTTATTTTCCTGCTCTTCACTAAGATGAAGAATCCAGAACAAGATAATGCAAATAACTACTAGAAATTGAAAAGAGTAGAAGAAAATCGTATAGGTAATTACCTGCGAAACTGAGAACAATAAGGCCAACAACAAACCCAAAGAACTGGAGTCTCTTCTTCTGGAAATCCATAACACACCACTCAGATGATAACCCTAAAAACCCAACCGAGTATGGATCGTCTATAAGATCAGTGAATCAGGAGTCTGAAGCAAAGTATCGATTCGTCAATCGCCACCACGTCAGGATCTCAAATTGCTGTCTATTTCAGTATGTCTGTTTTCGGAAGGAAGACCCAAAGACAAGTATCGGTTAAAAAAAAATTGCAAAATAAACCTAAACTATTTTTTTACAAAAACCTATTTAATTGTTTTATTTTAGATGATTAAATTTCTTATTATTTATTTTTAAATAATAAATTATTGAATTTCTAGAAATTCAATAATTTAATCTAAATTATATTAGCTTTATAATTATTTTTTAAGAAATTATATTAGCTGTTCTGGTTTTATATAATGTGTGGATTGTATTTTTTTAACAATTATGGCATCTTCCGTCTTTAGTCACACAGGATGGGGGTGTTACAAAGACGGTCTCTTGATCGTATTTAACTTTTTCTTTGAAGAATTGCTAAGTGCATATTCTTTTACATCGATGTCTTAACCTCTGAATAATTTCCTGATTTGATAAAGTATCATCTTCTCTTACTTTTTCAGTTATTAGTAAATTTGTCGACTGATTAGATTGTTTAGGATCACAGATCATACTTTATTAACTTCATCAACTAATCTGTAATTCTTTGTATTAATAAAAGATATAAAATTAAAAGTTGAAAATTTGTAATTATGGTTGAAGTTCGATCATCATTGCAGTATTGAAAGCTGAGTCTTTGACGAATGCTTCTTGTCTCGAACATCTCCAAGAGTTGACGGCAATAAACACATAAACCCTGCAAAGGGTTCTTACTCACATCCAGGGGGAAGAAGCCTCCACTTTTACAACTCAAGAAGATCATACTGCGCTCGTCCCTCTGAGCGTCTCTGCCGATTACATCACCCAAACAGAGATGTGAGCTCTGGGTGAGCGTCTACTTCAATAGGTGGCTGATTTCACCTCTGATTTCAAAAATACGACAAAACAAGCAGCTGCACAAATACGACGCTCGCTGGCCTCTTTTAAATTCAGAGCAGGCATTGAGATCAACAAAGCCACCCAAGCAGTGGTAGACATTGTGGAGCTAATTGACGCCAAAGTAAAAGTCATGGCTCCACGGAAGTCCAGAAGCCAAATCACAAGCCTGTCAAGATCCCCTCTACTTGTGGCGAGTCATCGAAGAAGAGAAGGCTTGACGATAATGAGGACCCATATCAGTTTGGTCCTCAAAATTGTCAAGAGGGGGAGAAACAGCAATCTGAAGCACAAACTGTCGCCCCTTCTGCTGCCCCTTCTGCCTCTACTTAACAACCTCAAGCCCCATCGCCAATTAGTCAACAAACCATCACAAGAGATGAACCAATGGCAGCTGAACCAGAAGTAGCTGCGCAGGCAGAGCCAACACTTGATGGAGATGACGCAATCAAACTCTTGTCAATTTATGCCTCTTCATCATGTGCTTCTAAATCAACATCCTCCGACTACTTCATGGAGATGGCCCAGCCTGCATGGACGAATGAATAATAGGTGGTAATGGTCAATGTCATAAAGCCAGAGGAGGCTAAACGTAAAGCAAATAGAGCTCCTCCAATGGCCTAACTATTGTCACACCTCCACCACATCGACAGACGCATAGAGCAAAGGTCTTTGTCCAAGGGACCAGAGTTGTCACGCCTTCCCTAAGAACAGGAGGTTTAGTCAGAGAAAGCCATCAAGAGGCAAGTAGCAACAGGCCTCGGAGCTCCAAACCATCTTATGATCTCGTTCAAGAGATCAAAGATCAAATGGATGCAATGATGAGACCCATACCAAAAGAAAAGCCTATAAAAGACACGATTTATAGCGAATAAATCTTTCAATACCTGTATAATCATAGGAATGAGGTACCGACGCAGAAGATCAACCTCCATCCAATGATACAGGAGAACATTAGGCAGAGGTTTCTCCGTCAATATAAGCAGCCCATCACCAGAGTTTATTACGTGGATGGAATCAAGCAAGTGCTCGACATCATAAAGAGAACCCATGCCCACAATCATATTATCTTCCATGAATATACAGTGGAACGATCTTATAAGCAGATATGCGTCTTTACAGAATGTGATCTAATAAATCTTAACCCCTGGGATCTTCTTGGCCTGTATTTCTTCACCGATCATAAGAAAAATAAATGCATGAAGTAGGTTATAGCAAACTCTGCCATCAGGCAGACGATGACTGACCTTCTGGACTTCCAGAGCAAGTTCGACTTTCAGATAGCTCTAGAAATGGGGATTGATTAGTTGAGTGTCACTGCACCTAATAAAGAATTTGAAGGCATCAAGCACATCTCTTCCTGTACGGTGTTGGTAGAACCAGAACATGGGGTGGTCTTCCAAAATGAGCAAGGCAAGAAAGTGTTCTTTCGAGAAGACCAGCGCTTCAAGTATTCGAACTCCACTTTTTGCGTTACATAAAGAACACCATTTTAAGAAGCATAAATTCTACCCCGGGTGCAATAGAGAGAGCCAACAACCTAGTGCGCTCAATAGATCATGTACTTGAATTTCGTGAACTTCTAAGGAGGTTCATGAAACTTCAACATCTTTATGTCTTTTTCTTGTAAGTACCTTCTATCTTTTTGTTTTTGAACTTCATGTAATTTCTTTTTAAGTACTGTAAACAAATTAGATATTCAATGTAAAAACAGAGGTTCTCTTTGACCTTTTGCTTCGATCATATTTTTCTTTTCATTCAAGTAAGAGTCCTCTTATTTACATTTAGGGGGAGATTGTTAGAACCTCACTTGTAAAAGTGTAAGTAATAAGTCTCTTACTCTAGTCATTTAGGACTTAGAGGTTGTTTATGCTTCTGACCACCTCTTACCGATAGGATGTTCTTACCCAAGTAAGAGGTGGGTTGTTTACCAAATGAAAAAAACAGCTCTGACTATTTACCATGCTCTGACCGTGCTCTGTCCAGAGACAAAGTTAGAAAGGTGTCTTGCTAGAGACAGAGATGAAGTTTCCCATGTTTAACCTTACAATCACCAATCGGACACCAATATATAAGAATCTCCATTAAAAAAAGGGAGCAGCTACAATAATCCAACCTTATCCTTATTATCTATCTCCATCATCCACCTCTTCCTTTCTTCTTTCATTTCCAAAAAACCCACTTATCTCATAGGGTTTATCCCGGATTTAGGGTTTTCTCCACCTCATAGATGAATCCACCTCGAACACTATACTTATTGAACGCACCTCAAAGATCAAAACAATTTAGACATGAGAAATAGATGAAGGATTTTTGAGATCTTTAGGAAGAGAGTCGAAAATTATATGGTTTTTTGAAAAATGAGACGTTTTGACTATTTGGAGAAGAAGGTATTGATAATGCCAACTGGGATGCAAAGGGTATCACATGTCAACTGATGGTGACAGATTTGGGATACGTGTTGTCCTTTTATTAGATAAAAATTGGTTTGAATGCTTAAATTTATTATTTGGTTCAAGTGATCAAAATTGTATTATGTTACGTTATGTTCCGTAATACGAGTTCAAAAGCATAAAGGAATTTGATAATATAATCATAACGTTTGATAAATAATAATTTGTAGTGGCATATAATATAAAACACTGGAAACTAATAATTTTCACATATGAAAATGATATGTCAAAAACATAAAATGTGACTAGTAATTGAATTTTCCCATATAATTAGTAGGTCAGGATTTTTGAATTTTACAATTTATAAAAGCATTTATGAAATTGTTTTATTTGATTTTGATCGACTAAATTTATTAAGATAATAACGATAAATAATAATAAATAATATTACTAAAAGTAATTCAAAACAATTAGTTACATTTAATAAAAAATAATAATAAAATATGACTAATAATAATTAATAGTTTGATTAAAGAAATAAAAGGTATTAACAATATTTAATTAGAAAATAATAAACAAAATGTAACTGATAATAATTTAAAAAAATTTAATATTCAGCATTTATCTATTAATTAATATTTAATTATTAATTTATAGATGTTAATATTAATTATTTAATTATTGCAATACTACTCCAGATATAAGGGTATGATGGACAACTTTTACCAGTCGGCACATGAAATAAAGCATTTTGGTAAACAACAATTCCAATCAGCACTTACCTCATTCAGACCTCTTACCTCAATAAGAACTCTTACTCAAATCAGCATTTAATAAAAAAACTTTGGTAAACAGTCCCTTAGTCGATTGAAGCAGTCTGGACCAAGAGCTCTTATGCGGAAGATATTAAGAGACAGAGCTCTTACTCAAAGAGCTAAGTGTCCCACATATAGAGCTCGTGCTCAACCCAGAGGAAAATCAATATTTAAGTGTCGAAAATCATAAGTATTTGATGCAGAGCTACATTCAAGACACATAGCCTCTAAGTCTCCTGCTCCCATGGTTTGCGCACAAGTTGTTTAGACTTATTTCCAAAACTCCTAATAGAATCTGCCACGTACACTCAAGTCGTTCCACTTTCCAAGGAACGTGAATGTTGAGGACGTTGAACAAGAAGTCAGAGTTTGAAGCCTAGAATTTAGGAGATTCTGTTTAGCATGGTCGTATTAAAGGAGGCATCCTTCTCAAGTTAAAATTACCTGATAGATTGCCAAATTTGACTACGCTCCATTATAGAGAATTCTTGTGAGAGTACTGTTAAATTGAGAGTTTAGTGCTTTATTTGAAATTTAAATAAAGCATCCGACTTGTTCAAGATTATTTCTCATTCTTATTGTTTTCTTGAATAATTCTGTTAACTGTCATCAACTACACAGTTCTTGCTTCCATTCACTCTAATTTTACTATGTTTTGATACTTAAGAGGAATCTGGGTTCCTACAGAGTACTTGCAAGGAAATGAAGAACACTAAAGTTATTTTTTTCACATAAAGGAGAGTAGTAGAAGAGAGTTGATTGCCTTGAGAATACACTTAGAAATGCTTTTAGGGAAGCATGGTTTGCATGGGAGATGCACTCTGCTTTTTATACTATCTTCATGCATTAAATGCATGAGGACACTTGTCACCTTAGGATAAAGAAGGCAGTGGTTGACTTGACCATAGTTGATATATCTTTTTTATCATACATTGTGCGCACACAACACTATTCATGCAAAGACAAACATACTGATAATGAATATCTTTATCAGGTACATGTTTTTAGAGATATAGTCAGTCTGTAAGAAGATATTCTTTGAATGGATTAGTAGCTTCAAACAACTACTTACAAATCTCGGTGTACGAATGTCTTTCTTCAATTGGCTAGTACTTTCAAAACATCTTCAATCTTCAAATCATTTACTTTGGAGTCTTGGTGTGTAATTTAGACAGTTGACCCGCAGTACACATGGGTGACCTTCTGTCTTCACATCGGCTAGCCTTCGAATTTGCCAATGGCTTTAAATATGTATCAAGAAACCAATAACTACTAAGCGTTGATAGGATAGAGGAACATACCAGTGGGTCATCACCAAATCAATAGGTGACTCAGCAGATAACTTGTCATTTCAATATAACTTTCTAGATTTACTTTTTTGCAAATTCTTTGTATAACTGTTTGAACCACTAGATCTTAAGTCTAACGCTTCTTCTAGTCAATATGTCTACCATGTCCTAGTAGTGGCAGACCTAAAGGTCAGTAAGTTTGGCTTTGGGTTCCCTTTAACAACATGGGATGAGTTAATATTTGTTGTGATAAGGTCATTCTTTTGAAGATGGCATACTTTGGTGTTTTAGAAACTCCTAGCTTAAATTTAGTTCTATTTAGAATTAAATAAAAGTCATAATACTCTGATATTTTGTTGAGCCTTAGAGAGTAGATGATGTACAAACAGTTTGCATCACTTGGAGATATTTCAAGTTTGAAGAGATTTTGGTCATCACTTGGTGTATCTACTGATGACTACACTTCTGAAAGTTATTGACGCTGTACAAAAACCGACATGAAGAAGATTTGAACTCACCATCAGTTGAAGACACTATACCTGCTGATAAGTTCTCAAAAGAAGAAAAGCGAATAAGAGTTGAACCAATGACGAAGATATAAGTGGGGAGCTTAGTCATTGATCTACACCAAGCTTTAGTTGGTCTGGAGATTTGCCACTCCATTGATAGACATGCAGTAGGTTCAATTAGTCTCCTTTATTACCAATAGACTGTTAACTAAAGTTTATTTTGCCATTTTCTGATGAGATAAAAAAAAAAGACAAAAGGAACATTGCAACTTTTCCCGCTCCCCAATCTTTTAAGGTTTACACGTAAGCCCGAAATGTCAGATTTATGTGTTGCTTTTCTGGTGCATTAATATTTTCTCAGATTTTATCCTCTTCCTCTTAGTCATTCGTGTATAAATAGAAATCAAGGGTGAAGAACTCAATTGCACATTTCTACGACATCAAGAAGCTTACTTCTCCAAGTAATTTTAAGTCTTGAGTCATCAGTTGGTAAATCTATCCTAACTTAGTTCATAAGTCTTCAAATAAGATCATTCTTAACTTCATCAGTGACAGTAGCGAGTGACAAGGAATGAATTGTCTATCAACTTGTAAGTTGTTACATTACTACTGTCAGTTGCTACTTAATTTGTTTCGCAACAACTTATGTAATGTAAAGATTTAAAGTTTGTAATAAACATTAAAACTTCGAAAACACTGTATTCACCCCTCTACATGTGGTTGTCATATTGTTATCCTTTTGACACCAACATGTTTATCTTGATCTTCATTATTTTTGTAAACACGTACTCCTTGCAAGTAAAATTCATATTTTGACTGATTTCTGTTTCTTTTACTGTTCAAATTCATTGCTACTTTCAAATTTTTAGGAATGTTCCATAATTTTATGTTTTCCATGTTTCTAGGGGTTTTTACTACTATCTAATAGTCGATCAAATTCTTGATTCTTGGTAATTTGTGATTATTAATTATGATATCAGTTGACACATGTGTAATACATTTTTTAGGTTTTGTGGGTTTGTTTGGTATGATTTTCTAGTGTCGTGGAAATGCAATCAAACTCATTTAGATTTCATTTGATAAATTAGGAGGCGTTAATTGGGGTTTTTCCTATTATCCTGTATTTCTATTTTCATTTTCATTTTCATTCTTATTTGTTAAAAGTTAAAATAAACCAAACGCCCTCTTAGGTTGCAAAACAAGTTTTTAGCTAATGGGTCGTTTACCTAAACACTTACCCGGTAAGCACTTACCTATAAACTTCAACACTATCGCTTACTTACTGAGTAAGATTTTATTCACTAAAATGCATCGTATGCAACAATTTAGCCCGGTAAGCGATAACCATGGTAAGAGTCCTCGTCCTCACTTACCGGGTAAGACTCTCGATTCTTGCCTTAGCTTTTACCGGGTAAGATTTTTAGTTCTTGTCATATTCATCTGGTAAAGTAAAGTGACTTGATAAGCACTTACCCGAGTAAGCGTTTGGAAAATGACACCTAAATTAGAAAAATATTAATTTTGTGTACACATATCATAATGCTTTCTATTATGTATACTGGGGGTGCTCATGAGTTAGGTTTATCGAGTTGAAGACATTTGAATAACCCAACCCAATGTTTACGGTTTGAAAAATCTTAACCAACCCAACCCAAATCAAAGTGCAACCCAAACTCAACCCAAACCGTACGGGTTGGTCGGGTTAGTCAGGTTGATATTTTGTTACATTAAAATATTCTTCTGACCGTGAATATGTTATTTCTTTACCAATAATTTTATTTTCTTCATCAATTATTTGATACAACTTATCCATACTTATTACATATATCATATTCAATTAATTTTATCAATTTACATATATATGTTCACAGTTACCGAACATATATACGGATGAGTTATATAGAGATGTGAATAAATTGAAAATATGTGTATATGAAGAACGTACATAATAGTGTAATTGTCTAATGTATATATTAATAGAAATTCAACAATTATATTAAATACAAGAAATAAAAGAATATCAAGTTCATCGGATTGAATTGAGTTCAAATAATAGTAACAAAATAATATATATATATTTTAAAATCACGGTCTTCAAAAAGCTCCAAACCGTTAATCGTAATTTAAATCCTAGGGTAGGGTGTGCAAATAGGGTTGGCCAAAAACCTGTATAATTTATCTCAATTAATTATTTCTTTTTCATTTTTAAAATTATTATTTTTCATTTTTTAAATTAATTTTTAATTTTTTTATTATTATTTGTCACAAGTATGGCAGTTTGGTAACGGAGACGTGGAAGGAGGGGTTTATGGAGGGGTTTTAGTCAAATGTTAAATATTATGGTTTCTTGTTCTTCAAGCTCGTCAATGGCGGCCCTTTCACACTCCTCCCTTTTCCATTAATCTGAAAAAAGGAACACTTGGGGAAAGCGATACAGTCATCTTTACCCCCATTCCGATTGCTTCATAGTTGCTTCGCTTCACAGAAGCCTTCCTCCATGTTGAAGGCTTTAAGGTCTTCTTCCTCCTTACAACAAGCTCGTTTTACCACAGGGGCGTCGTATTTACAGTCTAATTCACGCCATGCGACTAAATTGAGTTCTCCATTTCATGGAGTGTTGCGTTCTGTTCTAAGGGATAAAAACCCTAAATTGTTTCAAAGAGTTTTTTTCTGTTCGGATTCGGGTGATGGATCTGGGTCCGGGCCAGAGTCCGTCGTTGAAGAAGTTGAGTCGAAATCTGCAGCGGCGATTGTTCCTACAGCTATCAAAAAGCCGGATGATTTTCTCACGGTTATCCTCTTATTTACTTCTTCATGTAGATTTCGTGTTTATACGATGAATCCTATTTCCATTGCAAAATTGGAGAAATGTTTCGACTTGAGAAGTTCAATTGCATAATCTCAATTTTGGCTAAGAGTTTGGAGTCAGAAAAAAAATGTCAATTTGCCAAAAGAAAAATGCCATCCCCTTTTTCCACCACCATCATCAAAAAAATGTCCACCTTGAGAATCTAACATTAATAAAAATATAACGTTTCTAAGTCATCCTTGATTGTCCAAAAAGCGGTGCTTGAGTTTGTTCTAGATTTTGAAGTGGCCCTTTTTGTGGGGAGTGGAAGGCATTACCAATAGATTTTCAAAATTATTTTCCACAGTCAATGTATCTCTGATTTGCAATTGTTTTTGTTTATATCACAGTGTTTGATTGCTCTGAAGTTGTGATTGTCAGCAACTTCTGCTCATCTTTATAAAAAGTTTGAAACTTGAAAAAATTCTATCAATTTTGCGCCCTAAATGGTAACCTCTATATGATATGTGATATACCTAGACGTCATAAATAGGAATTTCAGTTTCACAAAAATGAGTGCTCTTTTATTTTTCTATTTGCAGGTAATAGCATTGCCATTGCCACATAGACCATTGTTTCCAGGATTTTATATGCCAATATATGTCAAGGTACAGAATCTTTCTTCTGTATGTAATGGTGATTGGATACAGCTACCACAGTAGTTTTTTGTTTTCGTTTAAGAACTTATAGTGTCTAAATACTTACTTTGACCACTATATATATTCTATCAGTGAACCATGGATCTGCCCTTTATAAGAAAGAAAGCTGAAGGGCAAAGAAATACATGCTGTTTGCATAATATCTCTAGAAAGCTTTGTGAGGCTTCACTACTTGTGCCGTTATCTTAGTTGAGAAGGCAAGTGGTAGGTTTGTCTGAATCAAGACTAATACCGAGTGTGATGATATGATTTTCTGTGGTCATGCTATCAAACAAGTTTTTTTTGCATGAGATATCTTCCCAGCATGTTTCTCTGTCAGTTGATTAGACTATAGTTTCATCATTTGTGAGTAGAACTTCTCATATAATGCATCATATAGTAAGGGATGCTACTCTTAATGGAATTCCTGGTTAGAAAAATCATGCAAGACAGACCATGTTTTCTTGTATGTAGTTAGTGTTTTCTAGAACTAAAATTCTGCTTATAGTAGTTCCATCTTTTCCTGCAAAAGGGCTATGATGCCACCCTCGGGAAAAGTTCCATCTTTTCTTCTTCCTTTTCTTTGACAGTGATTTATATTCTTCAATGTTTTCTGCTAACTTCATAAATAAGCAGTGAATAGTTTGTTTATGAATATATGCTTTTTCAGGATCCTAAACTACTAGCAGCATTGGTAGAAAGTCGAAAACGACAGGCTCCTTATGCTGGTGCTTTCCTTGTAAAAGATGACCCAGGATCTGAGGCCGCAGGTTCGGATACAGAGAAAAACATATATGAGCTCAAGGGCAAAGAGCTGCTTAATCGTCTCCATGAAGTTGGTACACTGGCTCAGGTATTTGTTGTGATGCAACTGTTATTAATTAATCGTGGTAATCCTGTTGAGCTTCTATATATGCTGTACTACTGTGATCAACTTTTGATCCTTTTAAGTAGATTACGAGTATCCAAGGAGACCAGGTGGTTCTTATTGGTCATAGGCGGCTACGGATAACAGAAATGGTGAGTGGAGGCTTCATTTCGATTTGTCTGCCAGTTAATTGCGTACTAGCACTCTATGTGAAGCTATATTTTACCTCATTTTGATTATTTATTTTTCTGGACTGGAATTATATTATACAGGTCAGTGAAGATCCCCTTACCGTCCAAGTGGATCATCTCAAGGTATCATCCACTCATATCCTAAAATATTTGGAGATGCAATATATAGGAAATAGGATGGAATCTATTTTCATTAATACCATATTCTTTGATAAAACAGTGCTTGTTTAAGGATTTTCTCTGTATTCCAGGATTCACCGTACAACAAGGATGATGATGTCATAAAGGCAACATCATTTGAGGTCATAACAACCCTAAGAGATGTTCTGAAGACGAGTTCTCTTTGGAGGGATCATGTTCAAACATACAATCAGGTTTAGCTGTTTTTCTCTTTGCCTATAATGAGTGTTTAGCTGGAAGACTGTCATATTTGCATCTGCTTCATAGAATACCTAGCTCATTAAGAATATAACCATATTCTTAAACTAACTTAATTTTGGGTTGAATTGCTTATATTTTTTTGCAGCATATTGGTGATTTTAATTATCCAAGATTAGCAGACTTTGGTGCTGCAATATCTGGTTCGAACAAGTTACAATGCCAGGAAGTGCTCGAAGAGCTAGATGTAAGTCATGTTTAATGTTTCATAAAGGTTTAACTGGTGTATATACCATAGAACTGGATTGTTGTCAGCTGAATCTTAAAGTTCATGTGGAAGATTAAAGTACAATATCTATCTGGGGTTGGGTTAATGAGAGGCCTAGACATTATGCTAGACTACTTTTACTAGTAATATTTAATATTGGTGCATGCACCCTTCCATATTTATCCAATATAACATGGAAAACCCTTATTGCCTATATACAACCATGAATGTCTATAGCAATTTTTATAGGCATTTGCAATAACTAAGGCAAACTTTCATGACATAGTTTATATAAATTCTCTCACATTTTAACTTTATTTTCAATCTAGGTGTACAAACGGTTGAGACTCAGTCTTGAGTTGTTAAAGAAAGAAATGGAGATACATAAGATTCAGGTAAGTCCTGGTAGCACCATATTGCATATTTCTTAATAAGAAATTATTAAGTTCTTGATACCATTTCAACGCTGTTCTCGATTTTCTTTTAGGAATCCATAGCAAAAGCTATTGAAGAGAAAATAAGCACTGAACAGCGCCGTTACTTGTTAAATGAGCAGTATAAGGCTATAAAAAAGGTGGCTTCTGTAACTGATTATTAGTCTCTCCATCATTATTCTTCTTGTAAAATTATTGTTCTCTATTGCTGCAATTTGTGGTAGTGTCATGTTCTTCATTCACAAGTTGACTTGCGTTTTGAGATTAGGTTTTCTTTCAGAAATATAATATGATTAATCTCATCTTGCTACAGGAATTAGGACTCGAGACTGATGATAAAACAGCACTCACTGGTAACTTTCCTGTTTTTGTTTATATGATGTGAATGCATGCAACTCGTAGATACACTATTAACTATTTAGTAGTTGATGGACCTATGCTATTTTATGCTGTTCCATTGGCAATTAAGTGCTAAGCTTCAATATCTTTAGGTACGTGTAGACTGGATTCTGCAATTCTCTGAAGTTGTCCTTGAGATTTGACTGTTATATTCCATGTTCTTTTTCCTTTTAAGAGAATAAAACTACTAGATCAAGGACTTTACTTTATCGACGCCTATGTGAGAAATGGACTGAGCGATGTTTAGATTACCAACTGTGCATTTTCTAGAGGCATGTAGTGATATGAAAACAATGTTATTCCATCAGGCTCTACAAAGGTGCAGTCTGAGCTGATTAATCCTAGCCCGTTATATGGAGCTCATGACTATTTCATGTGTAAATAAAAATGGGAAAAGTACAATAAAAACCAATGGACTTTCTTGTTTGGAATGATTAAGTCCTTGGACTTTTTTTTGGAACAAATAAGTCCTTGGACATTCCAAAACATGTTAAATAAGTCCTTGGACAATTTTTTGGAACAAATAAGTCCTTGGACATTCCAAAACATGTTAAACAAGTCATTGGACAATTTTTTGGAACAAATAAATCCTTGGACATTCCAAAATATGTTAAATAAGTCCTTGGACAATTTTTGG